TCAGGTCATATGATGATTCATTTGGGAGGTTGTAATTGTTCTGTTTGTACATATTCTCAGCTATCAGCTGCGAGTTTTTCCAGGACAACGCCGATTTATATATTCTGGAAACGTATAGACTTAAGTTTTCTTACCGTTTCATTAAGAAGGATTTTCAAACTAATATGCAAGCGCAATCAGGCTACCGCTTTTCAACTTGAAACTTATTTCCCTAAGAACTGGTTGAGTTCTTTGCTGATCAATATCTTTTTTAATCAACTTATTCACTGAATACCGTTGACACTGAAAACAATGAAATTGTGAACCAATTATCTTTTCAGGTCGTGGCTCATTAAAGGCTGTCTTTGATCTTTTCGTTCTGTTGTGAGTTTTGCTACTTGATTTAGTTTTAGAAGTTGTTGGGTCTATATATTCCGATTAGTTTTCAGAAAATGGGGCCATATGGTTAGATTTCGTCAATAAAATCTGATCAGAGTGGATGGAATTAACAATGTACAGATAATCTTGCAACGCACTATAGCATCTTATTCAAGGGGGTGTAGATATACTCCTAATGTCCCTCTGATGGGCCACTGGGCTCCACTGCAGACTTACCCGCCTTAACTTATATCGTAAATTTGAAGAACACGATAATTTAATAGAGTCCGGCGAACCTCAGCTCCACTGACGCCCCCTACCCCCTTACAACGGCCACCTCTTTACAGCAGCAGCCCCTTCAGTTTTCGGTCCCGGCGGACACTCCATGGCATTCACTTTTCGTATCAGAATTAGTAGCAATTATACCCACACCGTTCACAATAAACATAAAAAGTATTAACGGTCAACGAAGACGAATCAATAAAGGCAACCTTATTTCAACACAGGGCCGTAACACGAGCGGAACCATCTCACGGGCTACAATTTTATGTCCAAGCAGATCAGTGATTTAGAAGACTGGTCGAAAATGCTATTTCAACGAGCACTACTAACAGACAGAAACGCCTGATCTGTCCTTTACTAAGGAAATTTTGATGTTTTCTGATTTAATTAGTATAAAGATTGTTTCAACTGAGCAGGATATAGAGACTGATGAGCAGTAGAGATATAAAATGCTTTTTAACTGGGTTTGAAACTTTGCAGATCATAAAAAATGAAAGTAATATGATTTAATACTGAAACTATCTTTCATTCTTGATTACCAATGGGTGTTTCTGACTAATTTCGATCAGAATGAAAGAACTCAGTACTAAAGCTCCTCACTAAAGCTCCGTGGCGGATCCAGACCGAGCTTGAGCTAAGGAGGAGAGGGGTGGGGGTTGTTTTGCTTGCCCTGCCGGCTTTTCTTCCTTCTGCAATTTTGGAAAAAATAAAGGGGGGCCCTCCTCTAGATCCGCCACTGAAGCTTACATGGGTTTACATGATTTACGCTACGGTAACTTAGCAGCAACCTCGACGTCGATGGACAGCCACCAGCTAGTCGCATATAATTCGATCTGATTTCAGTACCGTGTAAGTCCCCGCCGTACGCAGCTGTACCCAGTCAACGGCTAAAGTTGAAAACTAGCTGGTGAATGTCCATCCTTTTAGATTAAACCAGCTTTTTAATATCTACTTCGCACTAAGCGCAGGATCAAGGGATCGCGTCGCATATAATTCGGTCTGATTTCAGTACCAAGTAAGTCCCCGCCGTACGCTGTACCCAGTCAACGGCTAAAGGCGACGCGATCCCTTGATCCTGCGCTTAGTGCGAAGTAGATATTAAAAAGCTGGTTTAATTTAAAAGGGCACAGATCAAAGCTGTCAGCCACTGAAAAACTGACTGAGAGTGACGCATGCTTGTCATGGGAGACAAAACTTCGAGTCTTCGTGTAGAGCTGAACTTTACTGCCAAGCACGTTCTAATCAGTTCAGTCGCAAAGAGCTACTTTTAAGCAGCATTTCTGAAGTGTTTATAACGAATTTAAGGTCCAAACCGGTCCAAACTGAAAACTCAAGTGCTGGAGGGGAAATACATATTTGACCAAACCCGAAGCAATTATGATAAATGCTATGTTTTGTTGACTCGGCGAGAACCCTTTTGCTATTAAATATTTCAGTTTACCCTTGAAAACGTTAAATTGTGGCAGCAACACAATATAAAATATAACTTGAAAGTTCACCAGTCTTACATTTGTTGTACACCGGACTTGAAGGTTACTTGACTCTCTACTTCACTAACTCTGTGGTCCTCTGTCTTTGACCGTGTTTTCAAAACGCACACTTCTTCGTCGTCACTGATCCGTTTATCAAAACAACTGGCAAAATAGAGTATAGGTTTGATTTCACTTTCCAACCAGTCAGCTATAATTAAACAAAGTGTAATTTTAGAGAATTGCACGTCTTGGAAATACGTGGATGGACTCCTTAATAAGAAATCGTATATAAGCGGCTCGAGGTGTCTCCGGCAGGAATACACTGTTTGATATGATGTTTACGTCAAAACACTCGAAGCAAGTTGCAAAGAATATCAGTAGCCGCCATTTNGTGGTCCTCTGTCTTTGACCGTGTTTTCAAAACGCACACTTCTTCGTCGTCACTGATCCGTTTATCAAAACAACTGGTAAAATAGAGTATAGGTTTGATTTCACTTTCCAACCAGTCAGCTATAATTAAACGAAGTGTAATTTTAGAGAATTGCACGTCTTGGAAATACGTGGATGGACTCCTTAATAAGAAATCCTATATAAGCGGCTCGAGGTGTCTCCGGCAGGAATATACTGTTAGATATGATGTTTACGTCAAAACACTCGAAGCAAGTTGCAAAGAATATCAGTAGCCGCCATTTAGAAATATTTGCTGGGTTGTTCTGTTTTTGGAGAGATCGTTGCACTATCATTTGCTTTCTACGGACAAGAAATATCTCGAGTTAATTCTTTCGAATAATTACTTTCTGTGCATCAGCAACACCCTTTCGGGAAAAACTGTTCCGCCTTGCGCAACGAAAAATGTTTCAGCTGGTTTTTTATGCGTTCCTAGATGCCTGATTGTGCACACAACTGAGAAAATTATCTGCAGAATTACATTTCACCCCGCAGCCGTAAAAAAAGCAGGCTCCCAGTTTATGTTTTCTCTGGATTATTAAGACGCATACTAGTGCTGTCATCTTCTCGACATCCCGTTAACCCTCCTAATTGATGTTGCGAATCGTTACAAACGTTTTTAGTTCCATACTAACTAGTAAGGGCTATCCTAACTCTTTTACCTAAATTAGAACATTTAGAAAGATCACAGATGCAACTAACCTCACTCGGTTTGCCTGTGTTGTAAACCACTGGCCCCGGCGCACTGACTAAACCGCAAATCGTGCAGACTGAGATACTGAGACAATTGTGCGTGCGGGGAATGCTCGGAATTTGTTGAGTCATTACCTGTTCTTAAGCCGTAAGGGCAAATATCGTATATATATCAACCGTGTCGCTTCATTGTAATTCAAACAAAAGGCAAATAAAGCAGCTTTGCGACTGACAGCTCCGTGAAAAACGTGACTTTATTTCATTAGCGATTTCTTACACGCTAGTTTTGAAGAGCGCAATTTGAACGCTTGAGATGTTCCTTGACTACAGTGACAGTCAGGTCCAGGGCTCTTGCGATTTAGTTATAACCAAACTAGAAAAATAATAAAAAGTAGACGCCCTTTTCACGCAAATGCCAGACTGAGATCTAACTTTTAAAGCGACAGTTAGTAAAAGAGTAATATCGTATGCGTTAATTTTAATGATATATTTGTGAAGGTATTCTACAAAACTGACAACAGAATTGATGAGGGATCGTGCCAATATCGTTTCAACGACTAAACGATCTTTCTTGTATAGCAACATTTTCAATATTACGTCATGTTTTTAATGTCCAACCATACCTAACTCACCGGGACCCTGTTCGCGGGCTAATATTAAACGTGTGGTTGAATTTATATGATGACAAAAATAATTGGACGCTTAACATGGCTTTTAACTGCCGGTAAAGATGCACTGTTGCGTTACATTGAGCCTCGATTTCAGTTCCTAAACAAAGCAAGTGCAACGAAAATGAAAATCTGGGGCTTTCAGTGCACGTACGAGTAGGTTGTGGGGGGGG